AACTTCTTTATCATTTAAAAACATTATTTTAATATACAAAAAACTTAGTAAAGAAATAGTAACTTTATATAAAGTAAACAGTTCATAAAAATAATTATATATATATATATATATATATATATATATATATATATATATATATATATATATATATATATATATATATATATAATGTTGTTTTCTTATCTATAAATCACAGTTTTATTTAGATAATAAAATGAATAAGCAAAGTAAAACACGCTATGACTTAAATAAAGCTATGCAATATATTTTAGAGCCAGGTTCAGAGTCTGAGCTTTCAGATTTGGAACTTAGTAATGATGAAGAGGACGATAATAATCTATTTGTGGTTACCCGTATAAATGATGAGATAAATATATGTAAAGAAGAGCAATGCATGACTCCAGATATCATTTTGGAAGATAAAATTAATATTGAATTTACAGTTTTGGAAAGATACTTTGTTTACCTTACTTGCTGAACAAACAAATCTTTATAGTGTTCAAAAATCTTCTAAATCTGTTAATGTAACAGAAACTGAATTGAAGCAGTTTATTGCAATACAAATGTACATGTCGATTTTTAAATTGCCAGCCTATTAAATTGCCATATGTATTAGTCAACAGATACGCGATATTCTAAAATAGCTGATCTCATATCTTTGTCTAGATATAAAAAATTAAGAGAGTTTTTACATGCTGCTGATAACTCAAAACTTAATGACCCAGTTAACAAACATAATCAAATTTATAAAATTGCTCCTGTACTAGATCATGTTCATCAAAAGTGTCTTGCTATAGAACCTGAAACTGGGCCCTCTATTGACGAGCAAATAATTGCAGCCAAAACTCGTTATAGTGGAATAAGGCAATACAACCCTAAAAAGCCAGTGAAAAACCCTAAAAAGCCTACGAACTTTGTTCGTAGTGAGATTTCAGGAATTATATATGACTTTTTCTTATATACTGGTGCTGCAGCAATTGGCTCTGAAAAATGTAATGGCTCATATGTTGTGAAACGATTAATAGAATCCTTACCAAAAAATCAAAACTTTAAGCTCTGTTTTGATAATTGGTTTGATAATTGGTTTTGCAATCTTGATTTATGTTTCCATTTGAATAAATTGGGCATACTTACAACAGCAACAATTAGAAATGATAGAATGCAAGGGTGTTGTTTACCAACTGAAAGTGAAATGAGATAAAAAGGAAGAGGAAGCCATGCATATAAATGTGATATTAATTCAGGAATAATAATCACCAGATGGTATGATAATAAATGTGTCAATTTTTGCTCAACATATTGTAATCCAAATTCAGTATCAGATGTTAAAAGATGGAATCGCTCTGAAAAAAAGTTTATCAACATAAATTGTCCATCGGTAGTAAAAGAATATAACCAATGCATGGGGGTGTAGATTTATGTGACATGTTATTTTCACTTTATCACACTAATATTAAAACCAAGCGGTGATACATTAAAATTTTGTTTCACTGCATTGACATTTGTAAAGTTAATGGATGGTAGATTTACAGGCGTCATTGCAATCAATCAAATATTTCTAAAAAATAACAGCTGACATTACTTTAGTTTACGACACAAATTGCATCTAGCTTGTCTTATGCAAAGAAACCATTTCTGGCAATTGGCAGGCAATCTAAAAGAAAATTGTCTAAAGAAGTGACACCAAAAAAGTGAAAGAATTCAATACCTTTACCAAATACAGATATTCAGTTTGACTGTTTAAATTATTGGCCTGAACATCGCGAGAAGAAACTTAATTGTCGTTTATGTAAGGTTGGAAATAGCCGAGTTTTTTGCAAAGAATGCAATACTTGTTTATGTCTAAACAAAAAAAAGAACTATTTTTATTCTTTTCATGTAAAGTAATTATATTGATTAGTTTAAGGTTTGTTTATTCAAACATATTTTGTGTGTGTTTTTTTTCCTTAACGGTTCATTACCGACAAATGGCGGTCATTTGCCATTTTAAAACTGCTGATGGTAGCAAAAAAAATTTTTTTTATTTGCAATTAATGATATAACACTATGTTTTTTGCCAAAGCAATATATTTTAACTCAATGTCTTCACATAGTGAACAATAAAGGATTAATATTATATTTATTATATTATTATTCCAATAAATAATAATATCTTTATATATTAGTGCTTTTTTTTCCTTTCTTTTTTTTTTCCCTCTTTTTATTTTAAATTATTTTTATGTTTTAATTATAATTTTTTTTAATAAGTTTTATTTTAAATTACTTTTATGTTTTAATTATAATTTTTTTTTTTAATAAATATAAACATATATATAAAAACTTTTAGTTTTAAATACAAACTAATTAGTCCCATATAACTAATGTTTAACTTAATGCTGCTTACTCATTCTTGCCTGTTTGACTCTGAATTCATAAAGAAAATTTTTTACGTTTGACCATATAATATCACTTTATATTTTTGACCACATGATAAGGTATTCTTAAATCGTTATTATCTCTATTATAATCTGCAATATCTGTTGAATCAGTTATAAGCTCTTAAATTTTATATTACATAATTTAATACAATCACCTGTAATATATAAAGTGCTTTTATGTGTGTTATGTGTAATTGACTGCGTTGTTTCCGTGGCATTAAAGTGTTGTGACTTGGTTTGTGAGTTCACAGCAAGAGTGTAGTATTATTTTTGTATTTATATATATATATATATAAATTTATATATACATATATATATATATATATATATATATATATATATATATATATATATATATATATATATATATATATATATATATATATATATATATATATATATATATAGTGTTTGCTGTACGCATACTTGACTTAGTTATTTAATTCATTGCTTTTATTGTGCAATACTATTTTATAATACTTTAGCCATTTTTTGAAAAGTCATAAAGTGAAAAAATCAAATTTGACTTTTATACAAATTAAGCTTTATTGTTCTTTGAAAATATTTATTCAAACTTTATTAAATAAATGTTTTCAAAGAATTATGAAAATATTCATTAAAATTTTTAGTTTTAAAAAATGTTTTACAAAGAGGTTTGTCTAATAATTATTTTTTAATTGCGTTTTTTCTGAAATATGTAATAAAAATCTTAACATCGTACAAAAAATACTTTTAATTCAATCAATCAATGTAATTAATCAAGTTTAAATGAGTACATCAATTTATCGTTTTACTTATATTTTTTATTTAATAGTTGCATACACTTATACCTGACTTCTTGAATTTATTGATTGATTTTATTGCAATTTTAATTTTTATGTGGCTGCAGCTTCTTCTGCTGCAACATGAAAGATGTTGTACTCATTTATACTTGACAATATATTGAATAATTGTTTTTATTATTACTATTTTTTTAATATTAGATTTTTTATTAGTACTTCCCTCTAAATATATATATATATATATATATATATATATATATATATATATATATATATATATATATATATATATATATATATCAGTGTTTGGAAAGTTCCTTTTTAAAAGGATCTCGTTACGTTCCCCGTTCATTTGGTATAATGTGAACTCGTTCAAGATCCTCGTTCCTTACCTCAAAAAGGAACTTTTTCCAAATTCCTCAAAAAAAGGAATTCGTTCCAAGTTCGTTCTTTTTTTTTTAATAATTTTTGAATTACTCATTACGAATTACACTAACAACAAAATGGAAGCAAACTTATTATAATTGGTTTATTTTTATTAATATTTTAAAATCTTTTTATAAGTATCTTGTTTTTTTGCCGGCTTGCATGAAATTTTACTTTTATTTTTAACGGCTCGGCACGTATAGTTACGCATATATAAGCATATATGTTAATTTCAGTTCAAAAGCATAAGAAAAATGTAATTAGAAAACAGTAAAATATAAGAAAACAAATTTAAACTTCAACTTTATTTTGTTTTAACAAAACTAATTTTTCAAATAATAAATCCCCTACTTTATATCTTTTTTCAGTAATTACATTAGACCCTGTTGAAAATAGTCGCTCAACAGGTGCACTTGATGGAAGAGGTGTGTTAAGTTCTAAAAAGGCTTTTAATACTGATGGGTATAATAGTAAAAGAGATAACTCTCTTGACTGTGATTTTAAATATAATTCTAACTCTTCAATACCAGAACTTGTAACTCTGTTGCTTTCAACAGGTAAACAAAAAAAGTCTTCTTTAAATTCACCTGTAGTTGTACGAGAAGATTCCATTTCACAAGGGCCTGAACTAGACCTATGATCCACACTTTCAAATAAAGATTTTAACGAAGCTTCCGCTGAGAAACGTTTGACACCATCAAGCCATAATAATTTAAAGCGAGGTAACAAACACGATGCTAATATTAGCTCCTTTTTTTCCCATATTGCGCTAAATCGAGTTTGAACAGAAGATTTTACTGCGTTGACAAGCGGACTACAAAAATTCATATTTTTCTGTTGCAAAGTAGTTAGCTTTTTATCTAAAGCGTAAAGCGTAGGCAATAAATACCCCATAAACATTGATTCTTCTCCTTGTAAAAAATCTAAAGAATGGGCAAGTGGAGTCATTACCTCACAGTATTCTTGAATTAATTGAATTTCTTGATTTGTGAATCTTTGTATTTCACAGAAATCCATTATATTGCTCATTTTGTTATGTCCATTAGAGTCTGAAAAAATATTTTTAATTTGTAACAAGCTGTCATAGATACAGTTCCATCTTGTTTTATTAGGAGTTTTTAAATAAACATCGAGTGTATTATGAATTTTTTCTGCAACTCTATTTGACATATTTTGCTTACTCCATAACGATGAACACTTGCCCATTGCTTTCCTATAAAGTTTCTTAAAATTACTAGGTGAATTCTGTACCATTTTCTCAACATCATCTTTTGCTATCAAGTCTAGTGTATGACTAGCACATCTAAAATGTTGTGGTAACTGAACAAGTAAGTCACTCTCTTCTTGTTCATGACTATTTTTGTCTAAAATGTCATATAAACTCATTTTCACTGTATAAATCATCATTATCTTCTTCATCATTACTATCCTCGTCATAGTCTGAGTTTTCGGAAACAGTATATGCTTTAAAAGCTTTTACAAAATTTGAGCCACTGTCAGTTGTTGTAGCAACTATCTTGTTTTGTATTTTATAGGATGTATGAATCTTATACAAAGCAGAAGCCAAAACAATATATGTATGCCTTACTTTTATTCGGCTACAGGCTAAAGATACTGAATGACGCTGAAGAGTCTTTTGATCTATCCAATGACAAGTAACCCCAATATAACTTCTTTTACCTTTACTCCAACAGTCAGCTGTGGTTGCAACATACATAATATCTCCAAGTATTGAAGTAATATTTTCAACCATTGATAAATAAAGGCTATTAATACGTAATTTTAAAGTTTTACTGCAAATAACTTTTAGGTTTTTAGGAAGGCCTAACTTCACCAAATTTACAAACGATGGTTTATCAACTATTGATAAAGGTTGTGTTTCACTAATAACAAAATTTACAACAAGTTGGTCTAAAACTTTTTGATTTATTTTAAAACTCTCATATCCTTTATCAGTTCCATATTTCTCAAGATTTGATTGCACCGCATCCTTCTTCGCATTCTCCAATGAACCCCATTTTTCTTTTTTAACTGAAGCATTTTTTTTCCCTTCTTTTATAGCTTTTTCAAAAGCAGCCATTTTATATGGATGAACTCTCTGAAAATGAAACAAATTTATTTTTTTTAATAAAAAAATTTGAAATTAAAATTTTTTTTTTTAACTTTCATTAAATAAATATAAAGTTCATCAGAAATTTTAGCAAATTAAAATGAAACTGCAGCAAATTATTGATGTAAATTATACTGAACATTATGTTTACATAATTTTCCATGCGCTGTTAATGCACAACAGCATCTATTTTAACTACATAATATTTTATTAGTACATAATAAGTAAATTTCAATACTATTTATTAGTAATACATAATAATTACTTAATATGTAATTAACTATTATGTCATTTGTACTTATTTTGTATACATAATATTTTGAAATCTTATCAAAATAATAACCTATAAATTATATTTGAAGACGTTAAAAGATTCACCTAGAAAATATACATTGATACATAAATTAATCTATTAAAATGTAATAACGTAATGTTATAAAAACATCCTCAAATATAATTTTTAGATTATTTTTTGTAAAGATTTTTAAAAGATTTTAAAATAGGAGGAATGCTTATTTACCTTAACATGCCGTTTTAGATTAGATGATGTATTTTTAGCTGTACTTATACATTTTCCCGAAGGGCCACACAAAACGCATTTTGCATTTATATTGTTACCATTTGCTTTGTTGAATACGAAAAATGACTCTAAACCATTCCAGGGCAAAAACTCACCTGAAAACATTATATAGTTTAATTATTTATACAAATAATTAATATTTTAGTTAAATAGACATTATGACTTTAGTTAAGTTCTTAAGTCAAAGCATGTGTAACCGTAATAAACTTACTTAGGAAATACAATTTGCACATCAATAAAATATAAAATAGATACAAAGTAAAAGTGTTTTATTTTTAAACTTACCACCAAGTTCAGTGTCATTATTACTAACATTATCAATTTCAATAACTGAAGTCATATTGCTTACTACAGCAGCGTAAAATAGAATTTCTCCTGTATGGTTAGCCTTTTTAAAAAAACTCACGTGGCAAAGTTCGCCTTAAGTTGGCCAAACGTACTATTTTTGGTTCTATGACTAAGTACAAAGCTTTATGTTTTTTGAATTGAAGATTAAATTTAACGAAAAGCTTTAATTTTTGACGAATAATTAGTAAATATTTTTTGAGGAACGTGAACAAAAAATAATAAATTTTGGTTCACGTTCCTCAAGAAAAAGAATTCGTTCTCGTTCCTCGTTCTGCTTTATCAATAGGAACCAGTTCCAAGCTTCGTTCCTCAAAAAAGGAATTTGTTCCAGGAATCCGTTTCTTTTGGAACGCGTTCTTCCAAACACTGATATATATATATATATATATATATATATATATATATATATATATATATATATATATATATATATATATATTATTTAAATAAGAAAATATAAATATTTTTATAAATTGTTTAAATAAGACACTTTTATTAAAAATAATCAATGACATTTAAAAAAAGGTCAGGGTCATTTGATAAAGTTGTTAATATTCTCAAAAAGCGTTCGTTTTCGAACAACCAATTCTATGAAGCATGTTCTAAAACCAAGTCGTTTGCATTATATAACAGATAAAACTACCCTAATTAAAATAACAAGGTCACTTGGGCCCATTTTTCAACGTCCAAATTTGTTTTTAAAATAAATCCTTTTAGTGAGTTAAAATATTATTATCAAAGCCTAAGTTTCCAAAAACAACTTAAGAAATGTTACACAACTGTCTTATATACTAAAAATAATAAAGTAAAGAATGTAATAAGTAAAAATGCTAATACTAAATAGTTCTGAAGTATAGTAAATTAAAAATTAACCAGAAGGCAAGAACTTTAGGTAGTCAGTAAAATGCAAGTTACGTACTATTTAGCGAACCAATATATTTTAATGAGCACAACAGTTATGATATTTACAAAATACTTGCTCATCAGTTTTTTAAATTAAATATTTACTATTTGATATATTTTATTTAGATTAGACTGTTTACTTTTAAATTAATTATAATTTAACAATCAATAGATTAATGGTTAGCAAAAAAGTTTACATTTTACCAACTACCAGAACTTTAAATTGGTTTATTTTTTGCCCTTTATAAAAATAAATTATAGTATTAAGACGAAATTAGGGACAAGTTTAAAAATAGTTGGGTGTGGAATAGACTTACCACGACACGTATCGTACGGGTCATGACAGCTAGTTTAGGTTATTAGGAATAAAGTTGTGCTTATTATTAAACAATATATGTAAACGCATATGCCATATGCTAATTTAAAAAAATCCATTTATTTAACATTTATACAGGATCGTGAATAATATATAAAAGCCTTTCTCTTAACTACAAGTATTTTTGCTGAAACTTTTTTTTTTTTTTGGAAAGTTATATTTAAAAATTTGAAAAGATTGAAAAACACGAAACGTTTTGTCTCATCCAAGTAGAAATTTTGAAACTTTCATTTTAGATTTGCCTCTCTTTTGATAATTTTTGATTGCTAAGGTTAGAGTTCGGACTTTTGTAATTATAATGAAAACAATAACAAAAACAGTAACTAATATTATTATATTAAATTTTTTATATTGTATTGCAATTCATTTTCATAATACAATAACAATATCTGAAAAAAAAAATGTATTGTAATGACCCAATACAATAACAAGAGTTATTGTACTGTAGTTAATCCATATAATACAATAACATTTATTGTTATTGTAATAAACAAAACAATTCTAATTTCAAAATTATCTAATGACGTACCGTAAACCGGGGTTACTTTGAATGTTTTTGAGATATTTTTACTTGCTCCTTCATTATTGACAACATTTGAAACTTAATAAAATGAATACAGGGGCTAAGATTGACTCTTACATAATTCATATTCAAAATAATATTTAAATAAAAGGATTTTGTTTAGTATTAACTTAAACAGTCATTCAAAGTTAGCCCAGAAATGGAGTAACTTTTAATGCGTATTTTGTAAAAGCCAAACCTATTCAAAAACGCCAAGTTTTCTTTTAAAATTTAATAAAACTAACAGTCTAGTTTCACAAAAATTATTTATTATTGCTAAAATAATATAATATTTTTTCATAACAAACACCCGTTTAGTATTTTATTTTGTTTAAATGGGTACTTTTTAAGTGGACTGGCTTAAAAAATGTCTCTTTTACATCAGTTTCACTTACACACCATGCGAGTGGAACATTTTGCCAAAGAATCTTCAAAAGTAACTTTTTTTTTCTTTAGAGTCTGTTGTTTTCTTGACATTAACATGAAAAAATTGTTGGAGTACATTAATTATTGCTCGGCGAATTAAAGTTACAACTATCTGGCCAATGATTGAAGCTGATACTTATATCTAATGGTAACTCCCATATTTATTTCAAAACCGCTAAGTTACTAAGTTGTTGATTACCTTTTAATTTGACAAATATAATGATT